AGACTGCGATAACGTCTCTAGACTCAACATCCGGTGTTACCGTGACATGCACAAGTGTCGTCATCAGCAACTTCCATTCAGGGGTGTCCAGAACGTATGAATTCTTGCTCAGAAACAAGAAATTGCGAAAATTCTCCTTTGGTGTCAGTGCAAAAATTTTAACATGTTTTATACAATCTGTAAATTACAATATCTGATTCTATATTCTTTCGAGAAAAAAACAGCGTTTATTTCGTTCGATTATCACAGAAATAGCAGAAATAGGAGCAAAATTAGTAAGTGACTACAATTTTCACGAATCTCAAATAGCGGCCATTTAAAGAACTCCGTACCGTTGCCACAACCTAAGTTTAAAGGGCCGTAGGATAAAGGTTAATATCATTTCATTTAAACTTGGTGCCTCAATTTCGAACTGCATTGCATAGAGGAACAGCCATCCACCAGCACTCGTGCCATTGCCAAGATGGTGGGGACATCAAAATCAAGTGTTTGGAGGATCCTGCATGTCCAACACGAGTACACGACGTAGGTACAGCTGACTTCATACCATGAGTTCAATTTTTTCAGTGGATACTGAACCAGTGTTTACATCAGCCCAACTTCCTGAATCACGTGTTATTCAAAGATGAAGCGCAGCTTACAAGGGATGGCTGGTTCAACTGTTGAAACAGCCACATTTGGGCTGACGAAAACCCCAACATTACTGTAGCTGGTTACCACCAGGCGCAATTTTCTGTCAATGTCTGGGCGGGCATCATTGGGGATCACTTGATTGGGCCTTTCCCCTTACCACCGCGACTCAATGGGCCCATTTACAAGGTGTTACTGGAATGTATGCTTCCAACTTTGCTAGAAGACGTGCCACTGATTGTGTGGAGACAAATGTGGATACAGCATGAGGAAGAGCCAGCACACTTCAGCATTATATCACGAGACTATCTGGATGCTGCTTTTCATGGTTGTTGGATAGGAAGGGGAGGCCCAGTTCCTTGGCCACCCCGATCCCCAGACTTGACATGTCTGGACTATTTCATCTGGGGCCATGTGAAAGGCCTGATCTTGGACACACATGTGGATAATGAATTCGAGTTGCTGGCCAGAATACCTGTTGCATGTGACGTGATCCATGGGATACCGGGAATATTTGAAAGGGTGCGCCAAAGTTTCTTTCGTCGATGTAACGCATGCATTGAAAATGGAGGGCGCCAATTCCAACATCTACTCTAGTAAGTGAGTCTTATTAGTTTGGAGGGGGTAATATGCCTGTCCATGCTCTTCGACATGAGTTAGGTCATGAGGTCTTGACTTTTCTACTGTCTTGTGGAGCTTATGCTCGTTATTCTGTATGTCACCCAACAGGGTGTTTATTCAAAGTGATCTGTAGCAGTTTTTAATTATTATAAGAAGCTTGTGAGTGTATTGTTGTTAAATTCGTTGTTAGGTTATTAAGTATATGTAGTTATGTATATTTGATTTTCTTATGATGATATGTGTATGGGCTGCTCCATGTTGACGTCGATATGTTATAGTCAGGACCCGGATTATGATGACATGTCATCTTTTTTCCTTGTATCCTATGCGATGCTCTTAAATATATAAACCTCGGATATGAGATGCTGGTTACAGAAATGTAAATTTTATAGGTAATTTTTTGTCATTTTTTGACATTTTTAGGTTTAAGGTCATTTTTTCATTTTGGGGGAAATTTTTTGGTAAATTTTGGACCTTTAAAGTATTTCTTGTCATTTTTGGCCATTTTAGGGAATTTTTCTTCATACGCTTTCTGAAATGTGAATAATATGGAAGCAAAGTGTTCTTTCTTTCTCCTTTTGGTCATTTTCTGGATTTTTTTGGTCATTTTATAGGTAATTTTTTAAATATTTTCAGGTCATCAGAATCTGGACCCTGGTTATAGCAGTTCGGTTTAGACTACTTGTTTGGGTGAATCTGTATATGTGTACGGGCTACTCCCTGTGTTGATGTTGTCGCTATGCTGTAGCGGTTCGGCCTAGGCTACTTGCTTGGGGGGTATCTGTATATGTGTACAGGCTACTCTGTGTTGATGTTGTTGCTGTGCTGTAGCAGTTCAGTCTAGACTACTTGCTTGGGGGGTATCAGTATATGTGTACAGGCTACTCCGTGTTGTTGTTGCTATGCTGTAGTGGTTTGGTCTAAACTACTTGCTTGGGGGGGTATCTGTATATGTGTACAGGCTACTCCGTGTTGATGTTGTTGCTATGCAGTAGTGGTTTGGTCTAAACTACTTGCTTGGGGGGTATCTGTATATGTGTACGGTCTACTCCCTGTGTTGATGTTGTTGCTATGCTGTAGCGGTTCAGTCTAGACCACCTACTTGGGGGGTAGCAGTATATGTGGGTATGTTTGTGTAGAGTTGAGTGGTATGAGGTAGGGGGAGGCTACTGTGAGTGGTTGAAGAGATGGGGAAGGGGTGGGGTTATTTGGTGTGATTTTACTAGAATGTCGAATATGGGATTATGTATTTCTGTAAATGTACTGTTCATCTGTAGACCTTTCTTCGTCATGTCTCATATATATAACATCTTTCTAATGCGTTGAGTTTGGGTCCTTCCTTTATACGTAGGTAAGTCAATAATTATCCGCAATGTACCTGCCAATTTTATTTCAATACAAATAGAAAACTTACATTAACATCATTTTTCAACATAGTCCCCTTGCTTTTCAACGCACTTGGTCCATCGCTGCACAAGCTTCCTGATGCCCTCAGAAAAGAAGGTTTTCGGCTGGGCAGCGAGCCAAGCATGCACCGCTTACTTCATTTCTTGGTCTGAGGTGAATAGATGGCCCCTTAATGCCTCTTTGAGTGGACCAAACAAGCGGCAGTCAGAAGGGGCGTGATCAGGACTATACGGAGGATGAGCCATTACATCAAACTTGAGTTTCCAGAGGGTTTCAGCAGTGTGGGCAGCAGTATGTGGACGGACACTGTCGTGCAACAACACAACACCTTTTGACAGTAGTCCTCGGCGTTTGCTTCAAATTGCAGGCTTTAGCCTGTCAGTAAGCATCTCACTGTAACGAGCACTGTTTATTGTTGTGCCCCTCTCCTGATAATATTCCAGTACTGGGCCTTGTGAGTCCCAAAATCTGTTAGCATCAGTTTTCCTGTGGATGGTTGGCTTTTGAACTTTTTCTTCCTGGGCAATTGTGGATGTTTCCATTCCATACTCTGTTTACTCTCCAGCTCGCAATGATGGATCCATGTTTCGTCACCAGTGATGATTCTGTCTAAGAAGACAGATACCATAGCGATCCAAACGTTGTTGGCAGATGTCCAAGCGCATTTGTTTATGCAACACTGTGAGTTGTTTTGGGACCCATCTTGCACAGACTTTATGAAACCCAAGTCTGTTGTTGATGATTTCATAGGCAGAACCATAAATAATTTGCAGAAGATTTGCCACTTCATCAATAGTCACTCATCTGTCTAACAGAACCATGTCACGTGCACACTCAATGTTGTACTCATTTGTGGCCGTGGATGGTCGTCCGGCTCCTTCCTCATGTGTAACACTTGTGCGATCAATTTTGAACTTTTCAATCCATTCGTAGACATTCCGTTGCGGCAAACCACTGTTCCCGTATTGTGCTGAAAGTCTTTGATGGACTGTGGCCCCTGACACACCTTCCGACAACAAAAACCGGATCACTGAACGTTGCTCTTCTTTGGTGCAAACAGAAAGTGGAGCAGCCATGATTAACAGCAATGTAGCGACGATGGAACTAACCTAGCAACATCAAACCTGCGCAGAAATAATGAAAAGGAAACCACACATGGCGATGCTGCGCAAATCGACAGTGCTGCCAACAGAAACACAAATACAACTGCATTGCGGATAATTGTTGACTTCCCTTCGTATATAGTACTTTCATGGTCTGGCCCATTGCGCCAAATGTATATCCAGCCTCCAAAACGTGGTGTGCGAATATAAATATAAATGCTATCAGGACTAATAAATATTCTAAATTCATTTTTGCAGTTGGTTTCTACAGTGTATCATTGAAGAGGAGATTGATCCACAATTGACATTCTTTTCTGATGAAGCATGGGTTCACTTGCAGTGATATATAAATACGAGAAAGTGTTGCTACTGGAATTCAGTGAATGCACATCTCGCCCATGAAGTATGGCTCCATCCAGTGAAAGTTGGAGCCTGGCAAAGCTGTAAGGGCACTGAGGATTGTTCTACCAGCATTTTTTAATGGAACAATTAATTGTGAAAAACATGTACAAGTCATTCTCAGACAATTCTTTCGAGAGTTACAAAAGCAGAAAGACTCTGTGGCTGGTTTCAGCAAGATTCAGCTACTGCCCACACTGCACATACATCTATGCAGGCTTTGTCTGGTATCAGCACTTGTATGGCAGGCACATTCACACAACCTTAATTTTTAGATATTTTCTTCTGTGGTTCTTTGCAGGACATGGTTTAAAACAGTAAACACCATGAAGAAGAACAAAAAAAAAATAATCATAGGGAAATTGCAAAAATTTCGGCACAATAGCTTTAAGTGTTAATCAGAACCACTTCTGCTGGTGCAAGGAATGTCTACCTGTAGGAGGACAGCATTTTCAACAACGTCTGTGTGCTGTGATTTGTATACTTCATTCCAAACGTTACTGGCCACAGGCATACTGATTCATTGGCAAAATTTGTATGCACCTTGCAGCCAGTGGTGCATCAGTCGCTGTGAACTGTCCGAGAAAAGTAAGAACCTCCGTCTATATGCAGACGTAGAAATTTTCTTTGATGTTCATTAATAGCTTTATTTGCGTGTTTAATTACATCCATTGTAGATTCCACTTCACCACATTTGCGTCTATATTTTAGGATGTGTTGCTAATGCCAGTTCTTCACTACTGCTTTCTACACCTCTAACACATTCTCTGTAACTAATGTTTAGTCACCTTTCTGTCTAACAGAAAATAACAAAAAATCTGTCATGACAACCAATGACCCAACAGCAGGTACACAGGCACCTCCAACAGTGTCAGATATATTAAATTTACTTCAAACAAAAGGGCAACAGACAACATGTGTCTATAATATGTCACACATTGTCACAAATGTTTAGAGAATCATTAATCATCCTATAACAAATCCTCAACACAATGACACCTCTATGTTATTACATGGACACAGACTGCATTGGAGACAGAAAACAAATGATAAACTTCAGCATTTATAGATCATGGGAACTCCATGATGTAGTACCAAAGCACTGCTTAGTGGATAGGACAAAGAAAATGTGATAGATGTGCTATGGAATTTACCGCAAACATTCAGTATACACAAGATCTATTTTCATCTAGTTAGTTAGTTAGTTATTGGAGAGGGTGGGTTTCCCCATGCCCTGAGACCTGTATTGGTCCATTGTGCTTCCCTCTATGATTTCTACCAATCTCTATATCCTACCGGTACTGGTGCTTACCATCAGTCCCACCCAGCCATCAAGACCGGCTCTACTACCTGAGAGATTTCTATAATGCTTCCCCCATCTACCAGAGGTATTAGAGACTGCTGTTGGGCGGGAAACGTCCGTTAATTTGACTCAGTGACCTCCTTTGGAGATATGAGGTTCTTTTGCATGTCATAAAGCTACGATATGGGACCCACGGCTTAAAGTCCCTCCCAGAGGACTTTTTTCCTGAATTTTTCCGCCCTTAAAAATTCGACGACCTCTGCCGGGTATTCGAACCCGCGTACTACGAGTCATGAGGTGGGAACGTTACCTCTAGACTACGGAGGCCGCTATTTTCATCTATATTAGATTTGTTTAATGAAAATGGGAGTGGTACATCACACGCAACATTCAAACTAGAGTCGGGGGGGAGGGGGGGAAGAAAACACTTTCAAAATCTAGTCAACAGCAGAGTGGAGTTGTTTCAAGTTCACAGAGAAGACAAGCGGCATTTCTGCACATCTGGGTCATCTGCCTAACAGTGCACATAGAGCTCACCTCAGGTTCAGCCTTTATTTCTGGAAATGTTATTGGGACAGGATCCCCTTCCTCTTCTGCATCTGAGACTGCCTCAGCTTTTATATCCATGGCCTGCTTTGCATCATGAGGTGTTGGGTATGTCTCACCATATGTACCCACTAATGCGTTCTCCAAATTTGTACAGTTCTGTAAAAACCAACACATCTTTCTCAGAAATGGATGTACAACTCCACACATTAAACAGCGTATGCTCTCCTTGTTATGGCTATTTCTCATCACATTTAACTCATAAGAGCTGTTCTGTACAGATGTTCTTCTCTACAGCTATCATGATCACTAGAAAGTACTCGGTTCATAGCTCAGTGACCTTCCCGAGGAACTATCGGTCACTGCAGCAGTACAGAAAATATCTGCTTTTTTGGTACCTAAAAACATCATAATGACGAGCTCCACAACTTGTAATCTTCGTTCACCAAGCATAATTATATGATCAAGTCAAGGAGGATGAGATGGGCAGCTCATATAGCAGGCAAGGGGGAGAGGAGGAATGCATATAGGATTTTATGAGAAAGCCAGAATTAAAGAGACCAATAGGAAGACCTAGGATAGGTGGGAAGATAATATTTAAATGGATCTTTAAGAGACATAAGATGGGGTGGTGTGGACTGGATTCATATGGCTCAGGATAGGGACTTGTTACGGATTCTTGCGAACATGTCAATAAACTTCCAGGTTCTGTACAATGATGGGAATTTCTTCAGTGGCCAAGCAACTGGTGGCTTCTCAAGGACTCACTCAGCTCCATGGAGTTAGTTATAGTACCTAAGGGCTCATTACTGTGATCTCACATGCTTATCATGGCTCTGTATCCTAAGGCAAACAGACCCAGTACAAACACTCGCGAATTATTTCTTTAAAAATCTATCTTAACAGCATCTCTCCATCCACACTTAGGTCTCACAAGTGGCCTGCTTCTCTCAGGTTTTCCCTCCAAAACTTAGTATGCATTTCTCTCCGTTGCATGTGCAATACATGATTTACCCACATCACTCTCCTTTAACTCACTGCTGTCCTACATAATATCCCAAAGGTTATCATCCAAGTGTAAGGAACTCCCTACATGGATTATGCAAACAAACAGAAGCCTGTCACAAAATATTTAGCCCTTTGGCCAAGAGAACTGAAATAAAATAAAATTCTTGTCTGTGCACACAAGCACGAAACACAATTCTTTCTATTACAGCAGGAAACTTTTCTTCAGCTCTTTTCAGTACAATTCTTGCCACTTTTGTTCCAAGAGAACGCAGAATCTTTGTAACCTTGAAATCTGTTCATCACATGATAAATATCTTGTGGGGTTCATAGGAATTAGCTCACAAGAGTCCTAGTAATTTAAATTCTTGGTTCTAATAAGTGTACCAGTAACTAACTGCGAACAGTTCGATGACTCCCTAAGGATTTTTGCTGCTATAGAACTTCTCTCAAATACAGTTCAGTTTACACAAAATTTAATTTCATCTACTTCAGAATTGCTTAAAAGTAAATGGAAGTGGTATATCACAAGCAGCATACATTCAACAAATTCAGACACTTCAGAAAAAGGCCTTCAAAGGCAAGTCAGCAGCATAGTGGAGTTGTTTCAAGTGCACAGACAGACAAAGATGGAGATGAGAAAGACAACTGGAATTCCTATCTGTGATATCTGCCTAAGAGCAGACATACAGAAACATACAGCTCACCTCAGGTTCGGCCTTTACTTCCTGAACTGTTATTTGCAGAGGATCCACTTCCTCTTCTGCATCTGAGACTGCCTCAGCTTTTATATTCATGGCCTGGTCTGCATCATGACTTGCTGGGTATGTCTCATCATGTGGACCCACTAAACCCTTCTCTGAATTTGCACAGTTCTGGAAAGGCATCACATCTTCTATCAGTCATGGCTGTACAACACCATACACGAAACAATATATTGTGACATGTTGCGCAAAGGAGAACCCCCCCACCGGCAGTGACGCGGCGGGTGAGTCAGCGCTCCCCTCCCCCTCCTCCGCTCGGTAACGTAACGGTGACGCAACAGGATTGTTACGGTAGTAACAGCGGTTACTACCGCTAGCGTTACTAGCAACACAGCGCCAGGCAACAAGGGTGCCTATTACGTGGCCGTTTTCCGTATTGTCCGATCAAGGCTACATAAGGAGCAGCGAAGGCTATTCACAGTCAGTTGTACTGAGTCAGTCAGTTAGCCTTGGAGCTACCTACGAGTCAGTGAGTCCTGGAGCTCCCGCCGAGTGAGTCCTCGAGCTACCTCCGAGTTAGTTCCGAGTTAGCCAGCAACTAGTCAGTTGTATTCTGGCATTTGGAGTGTAAAAATTGTGATACTGCAGATAGCAGTAATCGTAAATCTGTAATTTGGGTGACTGTAAGTGCCAATGTGAAATAAAATTCGCTATATAAAATACGGCGTGAAGTTATCTGTCGCGATATACGCCCGACACGCAACAATATGCCCTCCTTGCTGTAGCTGTTTCTCTTTACATCTAACCCATAACAGCTGCTCTGTACAGATTTCTTCTCTACAGATTTCACAATCTTAGCAAGTGTTAAGTTCATAATGCAGCGACCTTCCTGAGAAACCTGTGGTCCCTGTGGAAGTAAAGACAATACATATCTGCTCTTTATGTGGGAGTAGTTGTATGAAGAGACAACCACTAGTTGAACTGTCCTATAGGATTTATTGCAGCTGCACAGTATACACAGATGGATAATAACAATAGTGAACTGTAGAATCTAGAACCATAACCATAACTGTAACTGTCACTACCATTCAATATATCTTCTTATATAACCTAGAGTCGGACATATAAAAACGGTTCCATAATAGGTACTGCTGTTGTAGGATACCGTGTTTATAAGTTCCCTAGCAACCGCTGTTTACTCGCTTTTGCCTAGCAACCGTTGTTTGCTCATCGTTGCTAACCAATGACACTTGTGTTGTCACACTTGCTTGAATGTGGGCAGTTCCCACAGAACCTAAGTCCTCATTACTGTGTTCACACATGCCCATCATGACTTTGCATCCTGACACAAACAAACACAGTCCAAAACCCCCATAACTTTACCTTTAAAATCCATCTTCACAACTGTCTCTCAAGTGTTGTCATTCTTCCAGGTCTTCTGTCAAAATTTTTGTATGCATTTCTCATTCTCACATGCATCCTATATGACCTACCCGTATCATGATATGAACAGCCATTCATAGGATGTGAACAAACTTGCAGCATCTCAATTGGAGTTGCCAAAATAGCGATCAGGGACTGGACTGATAGAAACCATAAAAAATACTGGGAATCCATAATTGGACTCAGACAGGCAAAGGGTTCTATAGCAGGACTCTCTGCCAGAGGAAAGAATGATCTGTTATGATTAAACAGAGATCAACTAGGATGGGTGGTAGCATTACTTACCGGACACTGCCACCTGAAAGGATATATTTTCAAGTTGGGACTGACAGATAACCCATCGTGTGAAAGGTGCCTACAAAGAAAACAAACCATCCACACACATCCCGTGTGATTTTGAGATCACAGCTTATTTAAGATTTCATCACTTGGGTCATTTTTTTATGGAACCAAGTGACTTTTATGATGTCCCCATAAGCAGGGTCCTACACTTTATTAAAAGTGTAGGATTAATAAAGGGCTAATCCAAAGGGGAAGCACAATACTCGTAGATCATTGAAGATTGCAGTCCGCTTTTTATGTCCGACCCCTTACATACATACATACCCATATCACTCTCCTTGAATTCATCCCTCTCCCATATAATAATGCAAAGTGTTACAATATGAAGAACCATGTAAACTCCACAGATGGATTATGAAAATTAACACAAGCTTGGCATAAAAAGTTTAGTTTTTTAAGATATAAGAATTAAAGTTCTTGTCTGTGCACAGGAGGACGAAACTCTCACCATCCTTTCTGTCACAGCAGGAAATGTTTCTTCAGCTCTCTGTAGTGGAATTCTCGTCATTCCTGTTGCAAGAGAATGCAGAATCTTTCATAACCTTGAAACCATATTTTATCACACATGCCTTGTGGGTGGCAAATGAATTCATTTACAAGAATCCTAGTGATATAGCATGATATTTCTAACAAGTATACCAGTACCTAGCTCTGAATATTTGCCCAAGTCTGTAAGGAAACACTAATTATCGTGTACGCACAATGACGTGGATTTCTTTGTTCTCACAGCAGAAGCCGGCAGGGATTACTGAAGCTTGCAGTCTTATTACACGTTGTGTAGTCTTAACAAACTGTTGCTCAGTTTTGATGGCAGCTAGTTCACCCATTTTGAGTGAACCTCTATTTTCAAAAACGTCGGATACTGCCTACCAGACTGTACGGAGTTACGTCCTAGAAACAGCAAACCTACTCTACAAATTTACATTGAAAAGGCCAAAAACGCATTTGTATGTCCTGCAACTTCAACCAGTTCAACACACACCAGCTCTCACTACTTCCTTTACAAGTCGGATTGGTACGGGTACTAGCGAGGAAGGGCATAAAACACTAAAAATGTGCATTCTACTGGTAACATCACCCTCAGAGCGGGCGTTGCGGTTTAGCAGAATCCCAGTTAGAACTTCCAACTGCGCAACTATATCTCGAACACAATAATTTGTAAAAAAGATGAGGAAACTGAATTTCTCTTGAATGGTCCTAATGCGTCCATAAACAATACCCAAAACTTTTTCCATTACAAATTAACTATCCGTAACCGACGATGAATGAGTTTGTTCTACTTACGCTAATCACAGTCAGCCCCGTGAAACTAACATGTTATTGGTTGGCAAAATGGCCGCCATGAAACCTCGGTGCAATGCTCCTGCCATCTATGTTCCCCATACACGAACTAAATTTAAAATGGCCTCCTGGGCCTAGAGCACAATCGGTAAGAAGGTATGCTACTTTACCAACTATTTTGATTGCTTCCCCCTCTGCCCCTTCCAATGCTTTTTGCGCTACTAGCATTAAATGCTTTTACAACCAGATCTCTTGTACTGCAGAGTCGCTTTCCTTCTGGCTTTCCCACCAATATCCTGTATGCATACCTCACCTCCTCCATTCGTGCTACATGCCCTGCCAACCTCATCCTCCTGGACTAGTGATATTCTGTGTCCAATATGACTAGTCGAGGAGGATGGCAGGGCATGTAGCACGAATGGGGGAGGCGAGGAATGCATATAGTATATTGGTGGGAAAATCATAAGGAAAGAGACTACTGGGAAGAACAAGGCATAGGTGGGTGGACAATATTAAAATTTATCCTAGTGAAATAGGAGGGTATGGTATGGATTGGATTGATCTGGCTCAGGATAGGGACCAGTGGAGGGCTCTTGTGAACACAGTAATGAACCTTCAGGTTCTACAAAGGGCTGGAAAATTCTTGAGTGGCTGCACAATTGGCAGCTTCTCAAGAAGGGCTAAGCTGCGTAAGTAAGTTTAATATCACTTCACCCATATCCTTTCGGTTGGATTTGAGTGAAGTTCTATTAAACTTAGTCCCCCCCCCCCTTTAAAAAAAAAAAAAAATAACAGTGGAATACGAGCCTCTGCAGCTCTGGACTACAAGAGATTAGGTTACAAATTATTTATCTGGAGAAAGTTTGTCAGTAGTGCCTGGAAAGTCATAGACTTTCTTTCATATGAAACACCTCTTTAACCAAAGGCACTGAAAATTGTGAAATGTGACATACATGGAATACTTGTATTTAGGAAAGCTGAAGGTGAGGAAACTTGAAAAAAAATGTTTTTATCAGAAATACATATATTAAGCCTCATAATTTCCTCATAACTTAGACTTGAAAGCCATACAGAACACAGTTTTTCGGGTCCACTTAAGTATTATAAATCATATATTGTAAGAAAAATTACTCATGTTCCCATTTCTTATTATTTTCATTAGAACGATGGAATTCGAGAATGTGTCATACACTCATCAACAAGATTAAGACTGCATTTAATGATATAAGAAAATCTGATATATTCATCTTCACCAGTTCAGTACTATGCAGAACAATATGGCAGAAATAATAACATATCTTAAAGAAATATAATGAACTAGCTGTACCCGGCCACGCGTTGCTGTGGCTCAGTCTGGTTAAATGGAAAAGAAAGAAAAGTGAAAGCGCACATTTCTAATATGTTTAACTTCACAATGCTTGCGGGTATACAATTTTTGTTGTTCCATTGTCTGTGCAGATATAGAGATTGTCTGGTTTGCCGACTCTAGAACACGCAACATATAACTGTCCATGTGAGAAGCAACCCGTGTCTAGATCTAAACCGCACAATTCTAAAGATTGGCCCTGAGCTTTGTTGATGGTGAATGCAAACGCCAATCGAATTCGGAATTGCAATTTTAAATTGAAATGGCACATCCGTTGGAATCATAGGAATACGAGGAATGAGGACATCTTCACCTTTGAAAGGTCCTGTCAAGATTGTTGCTTCTACGACGTTGCTCAATAATTTTTTACTGCAATCCGCGTGCCGTTGAAAGGCTTTGGCTGGTTGATATTTCGCAACATGATAATTGGCACGCCTATTTTCAATTGCAGTACGTGCGGTGGCATCCCTGGCAGATCGAGTGAATTCAAAACTTCTGTTGGATAATTAACCGCTTCGGCAATGAAATTCGTCCTGAGGTCAGATCAACCGGCACCTTTCCGTTCCCAATTTCCAGCAATTGATGTGAGAATATCTCAGCTGATTGATCGTTTTGCAGCTGGACACGTATATTTGTAGTTAATTTTAACGTCTTTACGTGTCGCCACAAAGTAGAGTATTTCAGGCAAGCATTTATTTCGTCCGTTGTTGTCGATCGAGGAATTACAGGTAATGTTTGCCTGAAATCTCCTGCAAGCAATATTAATGTGTTCCCAAATGGTCTGATGTTTCCACGCAAATCTTGCAATGATCTACGAAGATCCTCGAGCGATGTTTTGGGCGCCATTGTGCATTCATCCCAAACAATAAGTTTGCATTTCTGCAATACCTTTCCCATGCCTGTTGCTTTGGAAATGTTGCACGTGGGAGTTTCAATGAATTGCACATTCAATGGCAATTTCAAAGCGGAAGGAGCAGTTCTTCCACCTGGTAGCAATGTCGCAGATATTCCGGACGACACAAGAGCTAAGGCTGTCATTTTGGGATCGAATTGCTGCCAGAATCAATCTAATTAGGAACGTTTTACCAGTTCCTCCTGGCGCATCTAAGAAGATTTCTGCAACCCCGTTATTGACAGTTTGCATTATTTGATCGTAAATGCCTTTTTGCTCAAGTGTTAGCTTAGGAGTATTTGATTGCACATATGACAAAAGATCACCCGTGTTGTAATTTTGTTCACGGCGTAATTCTACATTGAACGAAGCAGCAGCAGATCGATTCGGTGATGGCATTCCCAATTGATTGAGAACTTTGTTCGCGATTTCTAAGCACAAATCTTCAACCATTATCAACGTTTCGTTGTAGATTTGTTGTGAAATCCATTTTCATATTGGAATTTTCCTCGCGTATTCGACGGAAAATATCTTCAGCCATGTGCGATTTATACTTCTCCTATAACTCTGTTGGAGATGAAGGAGAACAGGCGGTCAATATGATTTCAAACAATGCTCGAATTCGACGTGGATGTGACGTGTTGCACGCGTCAGTAATGCATACATCCCAGTGTCGGTCGTTCTCCAATAAATTCAGAGCTTGACATGCACTGCGGAAAGTGGCATATGTAACGCCGATGACAATTCTCAATTGCTGGAAAGACGTTTAACCGGGAACATTTACCAACAGCATATGAAGAAAAAGCATTCATCTTGATTGGGATGCACGGTGTACAGTCTGCCTATCGTAGTTTCCTTGAATATGCCAGTTTGTCCGTCGACTCGCTCTCCTCGTTTGCGTCGTTCAAATGATTTTCTACTCGCATTCCATGTGTAATACGTAGGCACTTCCGAATACAGCAGTGTTTTCGCAAACGCGTCATTTTGACGTAACGCGAAGAAAGCAGTTAACGTTGTAGCCGGTGGATTCGTGGCTATTTGTTCCACATTTGCAGTTGTGAAATAAACGCGTTGTCCTTGTTCTAGATGTACTGCTAAGTGAACAACAGCTGGACTTCGTTCATGTATGGGATATGAAAGAATTCGCCATTCTGCTTCATTTCAGCTTATGTATCTTCCAGCCTGATACTGTGCGATTTCGTCGATATGTATGGCCGCATTCCTATCACTTCTTTCTGGTTGCACGCCAAAAACTGCCATGTCGCTGCCTTTATTCACGTACTTACAAATGCATTTGATCGATTTAACGGAGTTACAGTATTCCGCGTTCATGTGCGCTTTGTATGTTTTTGATAGCAAAGGCGAATATGCAACAACCCACCGGTTATCCACTTCGATGTCACCGTTTCGCATTTGTATGGTTGCTAATTTACCACCATCTTCTGTTGATCTTCTGTTTGAAGGATATCCATCGTTTCCTGTAACTGTGTTGGATAGTAATGCTCGAGGATATCGCTTAGAGCATTTTCCGTCTATCATGCATGGTGAATTTGGATTCAGTGTACCGCAAGGTCTATGTATCATATTTTTCGTCACAACTTCATGCAAATCCTTATCGACGTCGGTATCGGGTATTTCAGCGCATATTACATCGTCGATTTCGTTTGAAATGATATTGTTATAGAGCCATATTAGTATATGTGCGTGTGGCAATCCTCTTTTTTGCCATTCTACTGAGTACATCCAGCAGCGCACAGACCCAAACACTTCATGTTTTACCATGAAATCCATCAGCGATTTCGGCTTCTGTCTGAAAACACGTGCTGTGATGTCATGCTTATCCACGGGCGATTGCCCAGGAAGTAAGAGCTGTTGTATATCGTCCCAAGCTGGATTGCATGTGAATTTAACGAATAGGTCTGGACGCCCGTAGTGACGAACGTACGCAATTGCATCTTGAGCGCAATATGCATATGACGTGGACTGCCTATATATGAAGATGGCAAAATGGTTAGTCTTCCAATGTTAGTTGTATTACCGTCATTTACAACTGCATCTCGCAAATGAACGTATTCTTCAGAGCGAAGCTTGCTCTGATTCAGACGAATGAATATCAAACGTTCTGTTTCGATTTTTGCATACATATCTACGATGTATTGGTGAAACAATTGACGGAATTTCAAAATGTGATTGTCTTCATTCTCTCGAATCATTAATCGGTATGAATAATAGTTCATTGCGCTGCATTTCATATTTGTTTCTTCCCCACTGACTGGATTTATCATCTTAACGTTGAAGTGATATCCATCGGCACCATCCCAAAAATGATTGGATATTGCAGGGCATCGTAGCATCGATGAGTTTCTGCAACCTTTGTCAATTGATCGTTTCTCCAATGAAGAACAATATCTCTAGGTTGGAATTGATCTCTGACTATAACAACTGCCATTTCGTCTATAGTTGGAGCATTGAATCTTCGCACATGTTGTCCAGCAGGCGTTTTGTCAGCTTGAATAACAATCTTGTGTATATCAGATGGCATCATGTCAAGTGCTGTTTTGAACAAACGCACTAAATTAACAATCAAGTTCCTTCCGTCAAATGTGACACTTTTTTAAGTTTTCCACCTCGTCACCACCTGCCTTACATGTTTCGGCTCACCACGGAGCCATCATCAGAGGCATTTATAGTAGAAAAAGAAATCACCAACACACAAAACTTCACTTTGTCCAAGATA